GTTTAGTATTTCACTATAATCCTTGATTCCCCAAAACCCCAAAACCCCTGAATGCCAATAAAACTAAAAATATTGGAACTAAAATTCTTAAATGAGGGAATTTTTATAATATAGAGTTTAAAATCTTTGATTGCAATTTTATTGTCTCATTCAGCGTGGTATTCCTCTAGTCTCTTGATTAGACCCTCAGCGTAGTTTGGTGAATAATAATTGACAACATCGGGTGGATAGTGAGAGTTTATTTCATCAATGTATTCTCTGAGTTTGCTGCCTGGTTCAGCTTGTATCTCTTGAATCTTTTAGAACCCACCTGATTGAACGAAGGTTCTCTTGGCCTCCAAGTTTTGAGGAAGTACTTTGGCGAATTGAGCGCAGACATAAGTTAGGATATTGTTTGGAGCAAGTTGAAGGAGTGGTTCAAGTGCTGGTAAATGGGTACACATTTGAATGATGTTCTTAAGGGCTTTCTTGGCCTTATCCTTAAGATCCTTGGAGCTTTCTGGGAGCATGTAGACAGCGAGGAGTCTTGATGGAACATCAGCTTCAGCCAAGAATTTAGCGTGATCTGGTGAATGTCTTCCAATTTGACCGAGTGACCAGGCGGCAGCAGCCTTTAAGTGGTCCTCTGGTTCTGAGATAAGTGCATCCTTAAGTGGAGCAATACCCTTTGAAACGATAACTGCCATTGCGAGTGAATCATCAAAAGCAGAGATGTAACCGAGAGTCATAATACCTGGAAGTCTAGCGTTACCCTTTGATTCAGAGATATAGTCGACAGTAGCAGCAGCACCACCTGAGTGAACAATCAACTTAGCGAGTTCAGTTGTTTGTTTTGCAATTTCTCTAATGCAAGTAGCAGCATTCTTTCTAACTTGGACATCCATATCCTTTAGGCAGTTAAGAATTCTTGGGAAGATTTCAGCCTCAACTACTACTTCGGCAAGATCTACGGTGTGCTTAGCAATTTGAGCAAGGCATGAGCAGACCTATCTCTTTAATTGAGCGTCTGGGTGAGAGATTAAAGCAGCAAGGTAAGGGACTGCACCTTGGTCAACAACTGCTTGTGCCAATTCCTCAGTATGCTTAGCGATTTCACTTAAAGCTGTTGCTGAGATTCTCTTGAGGGTGAGTTCTGGCTCTTGAACACAAAGAACTAATAGACCAACTGCACCAGCATCAACAACGGCTTAGGCAAGTTCATGGGTGTGCTTAGCAATGCAAGCAAGGGCCCATGCGGCTGCCTCCTTGACAGATGGATCGAATTCTTCAAGACAGTTGACGAGAGCATCAAGAGCACCTGAGTTGACAACAGCTTTAGCAAGGTGTGGAGAGTGCTTGGCAACTGATCTTAGAACGTAGGCAGCGGCTTTCTTGTAGAATCTCTATAATTCAAAATTAGTTTAATCATCACATTCTCGTCTTCATTTCATATTTAAAAAATAGAATCATTTGTCATAAAAGCTATTTAAAACTTACATTTTGTTCAGACAATGAGTAGACAAGTTGAGGAAGGATCTCATTAGAGACAACTGCTTCAGCGAGTTCGTCTGAGTAGTTAGCAAGTCTTCCAAGAGCTAAGGCAGCAGACTGTTAGATTGATGGGACGTTATCAAGTAAAAGTGGTCTAAGCAGGGCCATAACACCTAAAAATAATTAAAAGCATATTATCATACCAGCACTTTGAAGGGCTTCAATATTCTATGGTCTAGTAGCAAGTTCGGCAACGGTTTGCACGAAGGTAACTCTAGATTTTTGGTAAGCTTCGAATGGAGCAAGGACAGCTCTGGACATTTTTATTAAGTAAGAAAGAAATAAAATTATTTAACTAAGATTTCAAAGACTTTCAAATATTTTTGACGATCTTAGGACTTTGGGGTTTTGGGGTTTTGGGGTTTTGGGG